ACAGAGAGGAACTCTTCGTGAGAATCCAAGATGTACCCTCAAGGTTCAGAAATAAGAGAGACCTGGAACATGCAGCCGAACGTCTCGGGGAAGTGATCAGGGACTCTTATGAAAACAACTGCACCATTAAATGACCGCGGAATTCAAAAATGGTGGGCTGGTGCAATAACCAGCTGTCCATTTTAAGACGCCAGCTAAGGAAAGCGTGAAACAAGGTGAAGACCCCGTACACGGAAAACAGCAGGCAGAAGGCCCTCGACGATCGCAGAGATCTTCAGAGGAAATATAATAAAGCACTCGTAATAGCCAAAAACGAGGGCTGGAAGAAATTTAGCAGTGGGGTGGAGAGCCAATCTGAAGCTTCAAGGCTGGTAAAGATTCTAGGAGGACAGGGCGCTTCTGATCTGGGTTGTCTCATCAAACCGGATGGAAGCTATACCTGGACTACAGAAGAAACTGTCCAACTGCTGCTAGAAGAGCACTTCCCGAGGTTCACGAACTCGGGAGATATGAGACAAGGAACAGAAACCCGTAGAGGCACCTACAAGCCGCAGGAATGGGCATTGGCAGCTAAGATAGTCCACCCGCAAGGGGTAGAGTGGGCCGTCAACACCTATGAAACCCTAAAAGCTCCGTGACCCGATGGAGTCTACCCAATCCTCTTGCAGAGAGGGATCGAGATTATTCTGGGACTCTTAACGAAAATACTTAGGGCAAGCATAGCACTAAGGACTGTACCAAAAGTTTGGGGGAGATCGAGGATTGCCTTCATCGCCAAACCTGGAAAGAACGGGCATATCAAGCCCAGGGACTTCAGACCCATCAACCTCACCTCCTTCATAGTGAAGACACTGGAAAGACTGGTGGATCACTACATAAAGAGTACACTGCTTCCTGAGAAACCCCTATCACCCTCACAATATGCCTACAGGTCAGGCAGGTTTTCGACGGAAACGGCCCTGCATCACCTAGTGGCTAAGATTGAGGAACAGATAGAGGGAAAGGGCTACGCACTCAGCCTATTCCTGGACATCGAGGGCGCCTTTCATCGTGCTAAATACGAGATCATAACAAGGGCCATGTCGAGGAAAAATTTTCCAGACTGCATCAATGACTGGACGAAAAGCATGTTGGAGAGCAGGAAAATAACTACCACACACAACGGCTCACACGTAGAAGGGCACCCGACCAAGGGTTGTCCACAGGGTGGAGTCTTGTCTTCACTCCTGTGGAGCCTAGTTGTCGATGACCTTCTAGAGAAATTGAGAGAAGAGAAATTTCTGGTGAACGGCTATGCTGACGACATAGCCAGTGTCGCCAGGGGAAACTTCCTCGAAACTCTAAGAGCCAGACAAATCCGTGCTGTGAGAATACTGGAGGAATGGTGTAAAGGAACTAAACTAACAGTTGTAACGATATTTTCTCGTTACTAGTGATTATCACTAGGATAGTCACTAGGTAAGGGGAGCGACATCTAACGCCGGCTGAAATAGCCGAGCGAAAGATGAATAGACCATCGGACGACAGCCAATCAGGCCGCTCCGAAGGTAAATTAGACCAATCACACAGTGGGAAGAAACGTGGTAGGGTGAGACCATGTTTCGGAACACTGTGA